ATTTGTAGGTTGTCTTCCTTGTGTTTCAAATGCCTGCAAGGTGTTCGATGAAATGTCTCATCCCCACAACCCTACTTCCCTTGCCCATTGTATGCCATTCTTCGTGTGTGTTAGTGTTAGGACCCTTGCTGTGTCGTTTCGGTCCCTACTTTAGGTCGACACCTATTGGTTTTGGTGTTGACACTCATCCTTGCAGTGGGTGCCTTCCATCCTGTAGCCGTTCTTGTTTACGTCTAGTTCACGTCACTTACGTCTTAGTCATTGTCCTCCGGCTGTAGTAACATGTGTTACCTCGGGCTTGCATGCTTACCACTTGTGCACCACTCTTGCATTGATTTGCATGCCTGTGTGTGATTGAACTTTAGGACTTGTGTAGTCATGTGTCTCCATAAATTAGTTTTCCTTGAGGATTGATTTATCTTCTACATCTCGCATTGCAGATGGCACCTAAGAGGGCTAGGACTACAGCTGAGCTTGGTAGTGGATCGGCTTCGTTTAGTCGTTCTAGGTTCATTTCCTCTACTGCTCAAGAGGTATTTAGGAGCTAGTTTTCCCGTCATCCTGTCCTAGTAGAGTGTGAGGTCATTCTATCCGACCTATCCCCTGATGTAGCAGCTATCTTTACTTCTCGAGGTTAAGAGTCCTTGCTGATTGGGTTAAATCCCCTGCCTAGTCTTCTTGTTCAAGAGTTCTATGTGAACATCCATGACATTAGTGGTTCGTCCTTCCAGGTGTTCCTTCAGGGTCAAACCCTAAGGACTTCACCAGATGTTATTTCCAGTTCCATACATGTTTCCCGAGTCATTCACCCCGTTTACCCATATCTCTTGGTTGATTCTATTCCGGCCGACTCTCTGGTTCAGTCTACTCTGTTTAATAGCCCTTGGGGAGGTGGACCTGAGGCGATCCGCACTGGTTCTTTCCCTACTGATCGGCAGATTTTGTTGCGCATTATGTGTACGAATCTGTAGCTCGTCTCTCACACTTCTTCCCTATCTATAGAAAAGGCGAGGTTTCTTTTTGCTTTGCTGCATAGGGATTCGATTGACCTACCTACCTTCGTTTGCAAGCACATTCTGCGTACCTTTCGCACTTCCGATCATCGAATTGGTCTTCCTTATGCTTGCTTGATCCACTGCTTGGTGACATCACTTGGGGCTTCATTTCCCAATGGAGTCTTACGACAAGTGCTTCGTCCCATAGGGCACACTACCATCTCTCAAAGTAGGTCACATGTCACTTCTTCTGCTTCTGCTTCTGCATCTGCTCCTATTGAGCCAACAGAGCCTGTCGACCCGACAGTGCCCGCTGATCCTTTGAGTGTTTTACTTGCTGACCGCCTCCTTCCGATGTTCCTCCGTCCACTTCAGATATTCCCTCTTCTTCCACTTCTATTCCACCACCCGCCCCGCCTACTCCGACTACTATTCTTGTTAACCCCACTGTCGCACATATAGCTCAGATGTCGATTCTCACTGAGCAGCAGGCCCACATGATGGCCGACATTACTCAGTTACAAGCTTCTTCCGAGCATCATACAGAGTTTGCTACATTGCGGGGGGCTATTGCTCTTGTTCAGCACAGTATTCGGTGGATGCACGAGCACTGGGATTATGAGTCTGAGGCTGAGGATTCTGAGGACGTGGATGGCGGAGATGATGGTCCTACTTAGTAGCTTGGGGTTCCCCTTACCATTTGTGACAAAAAGGGGGAGTGGGTGCTAATTTTTGGGATTTGTAATGATAAAGTACTTTGATAATGTACTATTGATATTTTTGGCTAGATTATGTGTTGATGTTTTGCACTATTGATATATGTTTTTGGTGGTTTGACTTACATTGATATTATCTCTTAATCTAGCATATTGGTACAATATTATGGCTATTCATGACTCTTTATCTTTTATGTTTACTTATATTATTGTTTCTCGTGCTTTTACACTAGGTATGTGAGTTGTGATTTCAGGAAACAGGTTGAAAGATGACAAGGCAACAGTAAATTGAATCAGTATATTCGACTGCCATTGTAGTTCATGCTACTGTAATTTGGTTATGTAACAGAATGTCAAATGGGGAGTTTGTTAGATTTCTTGTTGGCTATTCTGTGAACAAAAGAGTAAAATTGTAAATGTTCAAAAGTTTGGGGTCAATTTGTCAATAGTTAAAGGTTAGGGGTCATTGTGTACATATGAAAAAGATGAGGGACTCAATTGTAATTTTAACAAAGTGTGCTAGGGTTCGAGCTATGAAGTATGGCAAGATGTGTCGTTGAAGTTTCGCTAGCTGCTCGCCAAGTGGTCGCTCGAGCAACAAAAATAGAAAGGTCGTCGCTCGTTTCTCGCCCCCACTTCGCTCAAGTGAAACAGCGTCGCTTGCTTTTCGCTCGAGCGACAATGTTACCCATAAAATTCAATTTTCCTTTTTTCGACATTTTAACCCGACTAAAAGATCCAAATACACTGCATATCAGTAGAATTGCGCCAATTTTCAATTGTGCTCTCAAGGGATTGAAATTGAAGAAAACTCTCCACACTTTGATTCTCTTATTCAACCCCATATTTGATTTGAGCAATTATATAAAAATATCAAATCAACATTCACCAAACACCACAACACAACATTCGAGAGCCTTTGTTGATTCTTGGAGATCGAGGAAGGAGATCGGAGTCCCGATCATTAGAGAACAGACGGTTCTCTTGAATCCATAGGAAATAGACAAAATCAAGAACCGGAAATTGGTGTAGCACGCAATCCAGGAGGGCTAGGTGCCGGGAGTTGGTGTAGGATCACGCATTCCAGGAAGGTTTTGAGGAAACTATGGTCAGGATGTCAGAAAAACCAGTGTAGATTGAGTCTGGCTGATTGTAAGTTTCATTTTCGTTTATAGTGGATTCCGATTGGCTTAAGCCCGGAGTTTTACCCACATTAGGGTTTCTCCGTCATCAAACAATTGTGTTATTTATCTTTCTGCAATTAATTTAAGATCGGTATTCAAATATAGGATAGTAAAGCATGTGAACTATCTGGACAAATTAATATTTGTGACGTGTTGCAATTATTAATTGATTGAAAAAGAAATTTCTGCATAAACACCTATTCACCCGCTCTCTAGGTGTTGATTGGGTCGAACTACGATATTTCACAAGGGACACGCTAAAGTCTCTTGAAATTAATTTTTTTTTTTAATATAAAATTACTTAGGGTTCACTAAAATATCACAAAATTTCATCACATTTTATATTTAATTATACGAGCAAGACAGGCTTAATTGAAGTCAAACAAATTTTTAAATAATATTGACAAATAAAAATGAAAATGAGATTAGGTTATTACATAATATGTAACTTTTTGATTTAACATCCTAATTCATTTGCAACAAAATAGAAAAGATAACTGCTGAATATTATCTCACGTGATCCCTATAACCACACTTTAAACTAAGCCAAACATGATATGTCAAATAGATCAAAATAAAGCCTTATAGTCATAATTTAATCTTAGCCAAACACGTTGTATCAAATAAGCTAAACATATTCGTGGTTGTCCAGTTCAATATAATTTGAAGCAAACATACACCATAAAAAAGAAATTCATTCAACTAAACGTGCAGTGTAATTTTTTTAGGAGTGGTACATCACTTTCCACTTATGAATTGAATGAATGAATGTCAAAATAAAAAGCTAGACTAGGGTCGGCAAGTCATCTCCCACTAATAAAGGTGTCGAGACCGTATATTGCTTGACTTCACCTTCCACCCTTCTTCACGCTAAAGCTATAGTTTAGGGCAAGGTTGGGCCCAAGAATTTTGAGGCTCTGGACGACTAATTATTTCGAGACTCTCAAACATAATTATTAAATAACGGAGCCAATCCAAATGCAATAATTGTGTATGAGAAATTAATAAATAAAGAAATGTAAGAATAAGTTGAATTATAAAGCGGGACAAATCCACTGCGAAGGCAGTTAAGAGTATATTTACCGAAGTAGAAATATTTATCAATTACAACCCCTATTCTCATTTAACATTAGACAAAATTAAGAATCAGTTTTATCTTAGATAAAGAATTTGAGAAATGGGGACAACGAAACTACCCTCTTGCAACTATTTCTTGGATTGCGTCATTGACATTCTCATCCTCTAAACTAACAACCAACTTCATGCCCACCTCTTTTTAGACATTAATTCCAAAAGACATTTGAACAAGAACCTTCACGTTACCTATTTATACACCAGATAATAGGCATTAGTGGGATTTTGAGTTGTTTTAAATGACAGGTTTGAATGGGGTGGGTTTTGGGCCATTTTTTTGAGGCCCTTTGAAATAGTGAGGCCCAAGGCGGTGGCCTTGTCTGCCTTGGGCCAAGGCCGGTCTTGGTTGAGGGAGTAGCTTAATTAGGCTTGGGAGTAGGGCTAGATTTGGGCTATTGAACAAGATCGAGGAAGGAGGCCTCAAGTCTTAGGTGCTTTATCTTACAGGCCTAATTTGTCTGTCTTTGTTTCTTTGGTCAGTCTCTATTCTTCATTCCATCCCCTGTTTCTTACTAAAAACCCTCAATGGGGAATCCTCCTATCGATTGAGCGTAGAGTCAGACTCCCGAGACTATTGCCCAACATTGGCCTTCCCAAGAACCTCTTTCTATTTCCCTAAGCGTGCTGGCTTTCGTATTCTGTTCTTCGAACTCAATAAGGCAAAGGGTACTTTCGTTATTGGCCCAATTTCGAGCTACTGGATCATACCACACAAAGTAGGTGATTCCTGATTGCTTAAAAAGCTCTATTTAGGATAAAAAAAGGTCGTTTCCTCGACTATTCATTAATCCCTTTGCTGGAATGCATTCGATACGTCTACTATTTTCGAATATAGATATTATTTTGAATATAGGGAACTTATATTTTTATACTTCTATTTTCAAACATATATATTATTTCGAATCAACTGAAATTGGAAAACATAATGGAGCAATAAAAACAAATTATAAGTTGAATAAAACTCACTCGACTTCAAAGCCATGTTCAGATAAGTGTTAATGAAGATACAATGGAGTCGTACAGTATTACACAATAATATTTTGATTCATATTTAACAAAACTGTGTTTCAAACTGAAGTTCAAACAATCTAGCTCTTTATGCACCAGCCAACTCAAATCTCTCGAATGAAAGCTTAGTATTACAATAGCACAATGTATGAGCAATGCGATTTAGACAACCTAAAGAATAAAGAAAATGCGTATCTTTCATGTGACAACAGACAGAGACTGGTTCTGTTTTCAAAAGTATATATAAACATCAACTTTATACCTGTAATAAAGCCAATGCAGTGCATAGAAAAGAATGACATGTAACAAAAGACTTGAGATTAAAAAAATATATATATCATTGCCGATTCTGCCGAAGAGATAGTAATTTAGCAGCTATAGTATCATAGTCGGGGAGCTTTGGATGAACATGACTAGCTTGCTTCGCATTGTCTACAATATTTGAATAAGTCTTACTCAATGTTGGTTTTTGGTTTTCACTACTATCCGTTGCCTCTTTCCTTGGCTGAGAACTAGATGGTTGATCTATATCAGATGACTTATGAGAGATCTTCGACTCCTGCATTGTGGTAGAAGCTGGTTTTGCTTGAGTAGGACGATCATAAGCTCTGGAAAAATTCAAGTTCATGGGCTTAGAAGCCACTTCTGCTGAGGTGGGGTGCTCCAGAATTTCCCTTGTATTGGAGTTCTTTGTTTGGGACCGAGATTCTTGTGTAGTTTCAATATTGTAGGAGCTTGAGGGTTTTCTTTCGATTCCAGAACCAGAATCAAGATGAGTCGTAGGATAAGAAGTGGGCTTAGAAGTCACTTTTGCTGCGGTGGGCTGCTTGAGATTTTCCCTATTATCAGAGTTTCGTGTTTGTGACGGAGATTCTTGAGGAGTTTCAGTACTAGAAGAGGTCAATACTTTCCTTCCCTTTCCAGAATCAGAATCAGGCTGCGTCTTAGGATAAGAAGCTTTTGTCCTACGAGAAATTCCACTTTGCAGATGGCTTTTCCTATTGAGGGAATTTTTTGGAATATCTTCATCCGAATCACTATTATAAGAACCAAAAACCGAAACTGGAGGTCCAAAAATTGACTTTTTCTTAACTGCGTTGCCTGCACTATGAATATATGATTCTTGTCTGTGACCTGATGTCTCCTTTTGAGACGTTTCTTCTTCAGAACTGTCGATATCCATATCAGGCTGGGGATCTCGTCCTCTCATGCTTTTCTTATCATCTAACTTTGTGCTTAACCTGGAACTCTCGACAGTAGGGGAAGCAGCATCTACAGGAACCGTCTCCTCAGCTTTTTTCTTCAACGATAATGGATTATCCAATCGACTCTTCAAGTAAGGGGGAGGGATATTACCCTTGTGACGAAATCCACCAGTGAGCTTTCCAAAATTCAGCCCATTCCCGCTCTCTAAATTCAATTTGCTGCCAGTATCTTCTGAGCCCAACTTAAATTTTTCAGGTCCTGGAGAAGGCTGATTAGCGAAAGACTCCTTGGAACTAAATATTTTTGGAGAAACAGCATCAAATTTAACACCTTGGTTGTTTTCCCCATGGACTTCCTCGAAGTTGACTTCATCATCAGAGAGAAACGCTCGTTGTTGTCTGTTATTTCCTGAATATCCTTTCTCCTTAAATGATGATCTAACTGATTGAGAACTTTTATTTTGTCTACTTGGAAGATTTAGAGAATCTTTTGTTTCATCAGGATCAAACCCATCCATATGTTCCTCAGACTTGACTTTGTCATCAGAGAAAAGTGACCGTTGTTTTCCTTCAGATCTTATCTCTTTTAATGATGGTCTAACTGATTTTGGAATGTTATTTTGTATACTTGGAAGATATGTAGAATCTTTAGTCCCAATATGACCAAACTTATCCATATGTTCATCACTGTCAGAATATGGGCCATCGGAATCATCAAAGGTCACAGGCACAAAATTATCAGGGAACTCAGGGGATGTATGATCATCTGTGAAAAATAGTGATGAAGTGGAATTCTCAACGAATTTGATTGAGCTAGTTCTAGGGTTCCAAGCATCTTGTTTTATAGGAGAGTACTTAGGTGATTTCTTGCCTGATGATGAAAAATGAACTTCCGTCTCCTGCTCATCATAGTTGCTGCCCATATTAAACCCATAATCATCACTATCTGAATCAGATTTGTCAAATACTGCAGAAGTAAGATCATGAGGACTTGTCTGTGATGCACCTTGATCAAATCTTCCCTTGCCAATACCCACCAAAGGATCCTCACCAGCGTCATATCCAAATTTTTGATGTTCATAACTTGCATAAATGATCTCGTCCCTGAAAATGCTAGAATGGGAATCGGTAGAGATATGACCGGGCTGTTTCCTAATCCTTTCTTCATGGAAATTGTCAGATTTCTCCTGCCACTCATTTGTACTGTCAGCATTGTAGATAGAATGCTCCCGTTCAGAATTTGCAAAAATGTTTTCATCGCTGAAATTTCTGGAGTGAGAAGTGGAAGAAATATGACTGGGTTGTTTCCTAAGCCTTTCCTCTGGGAAATTCTCATATTTCTCGTGCCACCCATTTGCACTCTCAGAATCATAGACAGACTGTTTCTTCATGCTTGCTTCACCTTCATTGCTCTTCTTCATATTCATTTTGTCCATATCGTCCTCCTTTACTGAGTTCTTCTGAGAATACCCCTCTACAACTCGGATATCATGATCCAATGAGTCATTAATTGAAGTTTTAGATCTTATAGAAGCAGACTGACTGAATCCCTTTCTACTGCCATAACCATCCTCAGAGAATCTTCCAGCACCTGTCTTCAAATTATCATCATGTCCAACCTGATCTACAGCATCATTCTTTAACCTACTATGTCCAGAAGACATGTTTGCAGAATAATCGGGAAAATTTTCACTGCTCAATTTTGAAGTGGACTTTTCAGGTCCATGTCTTGAAATATGAACGTCTGACATGTGTGATTCTGTGGAATACTGCCTAGTAATTCTGCCTTGGCTTGAGAGTTCTGCAGCAGCTCTAGCGGCCATACTTGCAAGTTCTGCAGACTCAGCGGCAGCCTGTGCAGCAGAAGTTGCATCCTTGAACCCCATATTCCATCTCTGCTTTGAGAAAGCATTTGCATCCTCGTGTATTGATTGTACCCTCTCATCACGTACTGCTGGACAACAAAAATTTAATAGATGACATAACACTTGAAGAACAATGAATAATTGAAGAAAAACTCATAGCCCTACTCTAATGAAAAGTAACGTACCTGGAGGCCTCACTTCGGAATTGAGTGTTGAGCTGACACCAAAACTTTGGGAAGAAGTGGAGTTTTGTGTCTCCACTGAGGATCTAGGATCCTGCTCTGAAAAGTTCAACAGGGAACTATGCGTCTTATTATTAACAGGAGGAGATTGGCTCTGCGAAGCTTCAAAAAGAGGAGCTCCGGCATACATTTTACTGCTGTTTTCAATTGTACTTGGTCCACTCTGATAAATTTATAAATCAAGAAGTAAAATAGAAAGTGCTTTAGAAAATTATTTTGTGTCATAGTATAATGTGAATATTGACACGGATAAAACGTACAAAATCCTGAAAGCAACTGAACCATACCAGCAAGTCATTGTGAGGCGTCCCATCTTTCTCTCCAAATGAATTCGGATCCCATTTCACGTTGTGCTCCTCTGCAATTGCACTCAATATTTTAATTTTGGTCTGTCCATCAGGTGCTATTGCAGATAACTTCTCAACCAACTGAAATATCATAGCATAGGTGATGATCAGAGATATAATATTGCTCAAATTATCAAATAGCCCACAGTTGGCTTCCTTGTACACTAAGCCCCTATTTGGGGGTATTAAAATCAGACTTTTAGTAGATTTTGATAAAAGTTGATGAAATGTGGGATTGAAAAGTTGTGGGTCCCATGAAATATGTGGTTATAATTAATTGACAACTTTGACTTAGATTAAAATTTAGAATTTTAATCACTGCCAAAATATGGCTAATTTTCAGTATAGAACCATAGAACTAAGCTACCTAAGCATACCATGCGGCTTACACCACACTCTGGACGAAGCTCTATGGCTGCTGTGGTGAATTCTTTTCCATATTTCGCTGTAAAATGTTTCCGTACATCTAGAAGTTCGGGTACATCTCCACATCTTGGTGATGCAAATACTAAACTAGTAATTGCTTCCTTCAGGTCGATGGGGCAGTTCCTGCAGGAAAATTGGGCAATAAATTCAACATGAAGCCTAAAAACAGTTGGCATGTCTCAACACCATAATTTAATCAACGAAAACTTTCAATGCATGGATAGTTTTTGTATATTCTAAAATATAAAAGGACTTATTAACATGACAAGAAAATCTCTTAAATGAGACTGCGACACATAGGCAACAACTCCATTTTTAGACAACACAAAAGTGAACAAAACGATGCATATAAATTACCTCTAGCTGTGCATACAAGCAAGGCCGCGTGAATTGAAAAGATTACTTTAGCATTATAAGCATAATCTATTTTAATTTACCCATCGATGACTACCTATCATTGATGGAATCCAGTAACTCCGCATTTAAAAAAAAAGGTAAATTCATGATCTTCAGTATATATCAATAATCTCGATGGTTTTTATTGGTTGTGAGCAAATTGGCTTATCTACACAGGCATGCAGAAAATTGTGGTTCTATAAGTATTATGAGACTGGAGTAGATGTTCATCAGAAAATTTAAATTCAATTTTCAATCAAATGACTAGCAATGTAATCACATATCAGTCATATGAAAGCCACATTCCCAGAATAGTATAACACAAATATGCTAATGTAATCATAAATCATAGTAAATGAGAATGACGGAACCAAATCTGTAGTAGAGCAAAAAATATAATGGGACCACTCCTTCAAAAATGGCTTAAAAATGCTCAATAAACAAGTTAAAGGATACATTCAAAAGATTAATATAAGGAGGATATCACGAGCTACTAAAGCAAGAATCAATAAGTAAACCCAATACTTGAGGTTTCAGGAGAGATGGACGATGTGATGGCATAGAGTGCATATTTTAAAGGAAAAATGTTTTGAAACCAACCCAAATAAGCAGCTAAGAAAATGTTAATTATGCCAAGTGTTATTTCATATTAAGCGAACATTCTCCTCTCTTAGTAACAGAAAAGAGGAATTAAGCTCTGAGACCTAATTCAATAGACTTATAATTTAGAAATGACACTAATAGAAAAAAAAAGGTCCTCTATCTTCCTCTTTTTGGTTAATGACTGATGTTCCCAGCTCCATGTCTTAATATTAATTGTATGTAACGTATGTATGTTTTGGAAACCAAATAATAGAAGTTCCAATCCTTCTACAACTTATAGCCAACAACATTTTCATGATAATTGCCAGGAGGCGGTAATACATGGACAAAGAAACAGTATTCTGATATAAATAGCTGTGTTATCTAATGGTCGTATTATTGCCATAAAATTAGATAACTTTCCACGTTTTGCACAATTCAATTAACTTTACCTTCTCTGCACTTCTTTAGTTCTACTTCTATGTACACGTTCTCAGAGGAGTGAACTCTAGCAGCAATAATTTTATATTCTAGAAACCAACAAAATTATGCAATATTTGTAAATTGGATGCTAAATGAGCATTCTGGAGTAAAAAATTTACTTACTTCTGTGACTCAATGATAGGCATGCGAGCAACAACAAGTTCGCAATAAATCTCGATAAGATCATATGCTGCCATCATTTTCTCTTCCCTAACTACATGTTCAACCTGAAAAGTTTATAAGAGAGAATGAGAATATGTAACTAAAAAAGAATAACTTTGAAATATATAACCGATAACCACAGCTCAAAAGCAAACCATTGGCTTCACTAATCAGTAGGATCAAGACATCAACTGCAAGTGTGAAGATGAGATGTTGGGTCTCATCATGCTCATTTCAGACATTTGGAAGGGAAACATTCAATGTAAAAATAGAAGAAAGAATCTAGCTTTAATGATATGTCAAAGAATTTACAAATCTGCAACAACTGCCTTGGATGATGTAATCTATAAACATTCAGGATGATCCAACATCATAAAACCATGAACTTGCACACACGCACACAGAAGGTGCACGAAGCAAAGATTTTCTTGTTACTGTAACAAGGCAGGAAGTGGTTAACTGTAAAAATTTTGAAAATTGGAAAAAGACTATGAAAGAGGAGATTTAGCCCTTGTTCTTTTGGGGAGAAGAATGAATTTTTGAGTAGTGTATTGATGGGAAATATATAGTTAAAAAATAAGGAAAAGTTTTGGATTTGCGTGTAATATTATTTTATTAAAGAATGTGTGGTTTAAATAATGTCAAAATATTGCTGAAAATGTTTTTTTTTTTTTAAAGAATGGGGCTCAAACAAGGGCTCAGTCTCTGAACAAAAATGAGACATGGAAATTGGTTGAAAAACCAAATAATCAAAAGTTAGTTGATTGTAAATGGATCTACAAGTTGAAGGAAGGAGTGGAACCTAATGACCCTTCAAGATACAAAGCTACGCATTTCCACACAAAGCAAACCTACAATGAAATAAAGGTCTTCCAAAATGCTCCAGATGCCTGTGTTTTTTCACCCATTATCTTTCACTGACATAAGAACTCTTCAACACAAACCCCTCCTCTTACCAATCCCCCAAAAGGGAAACAAATCCCACCCCTCCACGTGATTTCATTACAGTTCAAGGCACGGTTTGCAAAATCTCTTAGAGATTAATGTAGAAACACACAAGTTTGATTTCAGGAATAAATAATGTACTAAACATAACAGAAGAAACTGGAGCCACTCACTATAAGCGAAATCCATTGATAAGAACATTAATTACTGCAATCCTCTCATCAGTTCTTCATACCATACATCTTAATGACAGAAATACAAAATTTCTTCAACCCATGATCTTAAAGTCATTAATGAAAAATTTAACTCTCATTAAGTGTCAATTTCGCATTGCAAATCAAGATAAAGAAACAAAATAACATTTAAGCAACTTTTCCCGGATAAACTGAAGCAAATATAGCGAAAAATTCAACAAGCAAGTCGGTGAAAATCAATTTTTTTTTCCTTATTTCTACTAGATAAATAATTACCCGAATTCGAGCAGTCTGGATGTTACCAGACTCAAGCAACTGCGCTAATTCCCTCTTCATCTGTCTCACTTGCACTTCCTTCTTGTTCTTCAATAGCTTCAGCCTTGAAGCTGCCAGCTTCAACGACGTCTTGCTGCACCCGGTTTTCAATTTACACATTCAATAAATTACAGAAATAAAAGATATATAAAAGAAAATCTCAAATAAGCAATAAGAATACAGATACAAGAATTAAGATTGCATCATATCACACAACTCAAAAATCAATATGAGGAAAACAAATATATATTGTACTAGTCAATTTATTTTACCATTTGGCAGGATTGAAGCTCCTGGAAAGCATGTCCTTAGAATTCTGCAGTAATTTTGATTTCTTCATTTTCTTTTCATTAAATTGAACTCCAATTGAAACCTTAATATCCGAAGCTGCAAAAAAGCATTAGAATTCAGGCGTGTACATGCAGAAATTGAAAATTCTTGATCCTGTGCGATAAAAAATTTTTGATCGGTGAGGATTTTGAGGTTTTCCAGATATTTGAAATTGATTGGGAATTGGATTTGTTTAACAATGAGAAGACTTGTGGAGGTCGTTTTTAATAATTTAACGAAATAACTGAGAAATGGGACAACCTCGGAGAGGTTGACGTTTCTTAGGTTTTGACCAAATTACAGTCTTTTAATTTCGTCGTTGACAATTTTTTTCTATTTTGGATCCCATATATTTTATATATAACGAGGTCTAAATTTAAATGATTTTTTTAGAATTGAATTGAATTGAAGTGCTCGATTCAATTTGAATGTAAGTAACATTTATTCATACTTTTAGAGTTGAATTGATAGAATTAAGTTAAAGTAATCGAATTGGTTGCTCTAATGACTGATCGATTGTCACATGTTGTGTGTGGATCCCGCATGAATTAAAAAATGTCTATCTTCTCGTGTGTGTGTTCGGTTATCTTTTATGTCAATCCCTATATTAGTGTAGCAAAACCCGAATTAGAATGACTTTTACTTTTACTCTTACTTTTTACAGAAGAATTTTTTTAAGAAATTCTCTTAATTTTTGTTTGAAAATTAATTCAACTAATTTTCTCTAAAAACTCTCCTAATTAGAAAAAACATTTTCAAAAAATTAGTCAAATAAATCTAAAAACAACTTATGAATCTCAAAAACTCACTTTGACTTTCCAAAAGTCATATCAAACAAATCTTAGTATTTATGAAGACAACATATAAATAAAAATATATATAAGTCGCACTATAAATGATTGAAAACTACTTTATCTATCAAGAGAGTTACAAAATTTCAATCCTTAAACATTGTAGGTGATAGACAATTTAACATTATTTGGTTTCTAAGTCACGTTCACCTTAAATACGAGTTTTGCTATTTGTCCAGAGCCACATGAACCTTGGACGCCAACCAATAGTGTAGCGCCCCCGGAAGTAACAGGGCCATCTATCAAAACCCCCTCAAATAATGCCCCAGTAACAAACAAATGTATATTTTATAGGAATTACAAGATGAGACTAGAGTAGAAAAATGATATATATAAATTAAAAAAGGTAAATGCAAAAATCTTACGTGAAAACCTCCAAATTAAGTTGGGGTAAAGTTTTGGGCTAGGATTTCGCAACAATTTGCAACAACATATCTCTACCTTATATATGCAAAACTAGTCCTTATTTTATTAGAACTTAAATTTTATTTTTCTTAGATAATAAATCCTTTGTTTAGTGTAATTGTAATTCATTAAAGATATAAATCAAAATTTCTCCTACTGATATATATATATATATATATATATATATATATATATATATAATCTAATGCAAAATTTTTATTGCATGAAGACCCTCCAAATTAAGTTGGGGTAAAGTTTTCAACTAGGATTTCACAACAATCTGTGACGATCTACCTCTAACTCTTATATGCAAAATTCTAAATCCTTCTTTCATTCAAACTTAGATTTTATTTTATAATAATAAGTCCTTAGTTCAGTGTAATTCGAATTCGTAAGAGATATAATCCAAATTTTTTAACTTAAAAAATCAGGAAAAAAAAAATATTCTAATGCAAATTTGGCAACTTTTCTTTAATTGCCTTTTTCCATCTTTATCACGTTAGTTGCAACCTTTTGGCCTGCCCACGTGCACTAACAGTTTACATTTCGAAATAATTGTTCAAAAAAATTTTAAATACAAAAAATAAAATTATCAATTATCGAGATAAGTCAAATCGAAACCATTCCTAACCTACCCTCATTTTATATGTCGTTAGATTACATTTTGTTCGATCACAATTTCAGTCGATCCGCGAGTTATGTTTAGAGTCTTTTTTTTTTTTTTTTTTTTTAAGTTTATGGAAGAATTAACTTTTTCTTCGTTAAAGATTATTTAATTTCCAAAGGGAAAACATCCCATTCTTAGAGGACGTGAGCCCATGTTCTGAGATAATTATTTAATTTGGGTTTTATTTATTTAATATAAGTTGGTTGAATTGGGCCACCAATTGATGAGGAATGTGCACTTGTCAGTGTTAATTAATTGTGAATTTAATATTTTCTTTATCTTTCTTTGTTGGCAATTAACGTTATACATTGGTAGAAAGCAAAAATTGTCGTTTAAGAAATTCCACGACGCGTCGGCCGAAGATAAGCAAACAAAATTCTCTACCAACTCTAAAACACGGACTATTAATTTAAAAAAAAAAAAAAAAGACAAATTAAACACAATTTTGAACGAAAAATATATATCATTTCAAATTAACAGTTCTTTTTTCTTTTTTAATATCTAGGTATCCCAACTAACACTAGACTAAATTCTGGACCCCCAAAACCCTTGCCCCTAGAGCCTTGGAAGTGGTAAATCGCGGGTTATGCCTCAACTGGATCACAGGTTCCCTCCACCACCTGTACATTTTTACGCACAAGAGATCCTCCTCCAAAGTGATTGCTCCATACCAAATAAATCTGACCGCAGGTTCCCACCAGGATTCGAACCTCCACCCTGCCGCTGGAAGCAAGACAATGTTGATTGATCCACCAGTTGAGCTGTGCCGCGGGGGGCATTCAAATTAACAGTTCTTGTTTTCGTGAATGGTGATCAAAGTGCTAGAGACACAGGACATAACAAATTTTAACTCAATTTTTAATTGTTGAAAAACTGTTAGATATTAGATTTAAGGGCTTGAATCGAAGTAATTTTTTGAAAATTAATTTTTTAGAAAAGATGTGGTTAAAAATAAAATTAAAAAAATTATGTAGAAACATGAACATTTTTTCTTTTAAATGTGTGATAAAATAAAATGAGAGTGAAGAAACATAAACAGTTTTTTGAAAATCACTTCCATATAAGCACTAAATAAATATACTCATTATCGTCTAATTTTCATTTTAGCAACTTAAGCTTTAAAATAAGATATCAAACAAGTAATATATTTGTATAAAGACTCTTTATCACCCATTTTATGATAATCGTGCACACATTCGATAAAATAAACAAACTTGAACTACATATAAGGGTCGTGCTTAGTTCATGCTAAGCACTATCGGACAATTTTAATATAAAGGTGTGCTTGATTGACATGAAAAAATGTCGCTTAAAAAATAAAATGCTTTTTTTTTTTGTTTTGAGGAAAACAAAAACCTACAACCTCCATGGCACCAAAGAAATTGTTTTCCTCAAAAATAAGGATAATTAAACATATTTTCAAGTGCTGAATTAGATTTTTCATGAAAAATGATAATCGAACACTTCAAAATTTGAAATTTGCATGGAAAAATGTCATTTTCCAAGAAAAGGTTTTCAATCAAACTCACTTTAAATGTTAGACACCATAAACTTACTCATGAATAAATTGATGTTACATATTATCGGTACTCAGTACATCATTTCTCATATCAAATAAATGTGAAACGAGTACACATTATATAAAAGTTTGAGCTAATTCTCTTAACAAGGTAGATCTTTAATATGGAATTATAAGTCTTAAAATTGTGTTAGATATCATTGAGCTCAAACGAACACACAATTTCAAGATTAATGTGCTCGAGTGATCCGACTAAAACTTAAAACATGCAATGTTACACCCTGCAAGCCATTGGCACTTTCCATCTATGCCACGACTGAATTTTTAGTGCAAGACATGGCGCTATAACAAGACGGAATGCACATTGGTGAAGCTGTTTTCAGATGAGCAAAAATCATAGCCGGAAAACTTGGCCTAAGTATGAAAGAATGTAGAAGCAGAGGTGTCTTGAGCTAGACAGAACGATCGAAACAGACCAACATTTTAAGCAAGATGGAAGGATCTAGACAATACTAGTGCAAGCAATGACTTCTGCTTGTTGGAAGCTTTTAGAAGGTGGCTAGAATAATATATTGATCTATAGAATGTTAAGATAGGATATTTGTATAGCTAATTATGAGATATTTAGATGGATATATAAGTGGAAGCAAATATGGATCAATGTATCAAATAGATCTTAGTCATCTATTTGAGGAGGCAACCACTATAAATAGGAAGTAAGTTCATTTGTAAAGTTTCAAGTTCATACGAGTTTTGATATAACATAAAAGCATTCTCCCAAACTTACCTCCAAGTTGTAAAGAGCTTAGATAATAGCCATGTTGATCCACATTCTTTCAAAAAAAATACGTTCTTAAACAGTGATTTGACATTATTTCAATTACACATTTTTCAATAAAAAATATTACATGTAAATCCAAAACTTTTCTTTATTTTTTAGCCGTGCATTTCTCATCACTATACTATTCAAAAATGTATTCTTATGAAAATAATATAGCTCAAACAAGGGCGTAATATAAAAGCATTCTCCCACTTTTGTGTTCAGATGATGACGCACAATGGGGCATGGTGGGTCACGTAACCCACCAACTTTTTCAAAATTGATTTTTTTACCTGCACTAGTCCTTCACGTTACCCTTCACCTTGTAGAACCGTTGGATGCAACAATTGAGTTGGAAGGTGTGAGTCACGCGGAGGAGGAGGATTGGATAGGCTATGAAAGCTCTAGAAATTCAATGTAATCAAAATCCTCTCTTTGCAATGTTAAATTCCAAGAATATATGTGTGGGTGTCGTTTCCTGTATCCAGCTACGACACCGTTTCACACAAATTATTTTATGTGGATCCATAATTTACAGAAAAATTTGAGGAGCTGGGATATATGAAAGTGCGTTTATATAAATTCACGCGTATAGAAGAATGAGGGTCTAGGGAAACGAGAATTGAAATTGAGAAAGAAGAATGAGTGTTAGTGTTTGATGATGAGGTGGAAGGGGAGAGATTCTTTGTGGGAAATTGTAACTATTGTTAACACTCAAAAGTGGTGGACGATGAACTCGATGCTGTCACATAAATTGAAACCCTTTTATACTGAGTAAATTTCATAAAGGGCCCTTGATGTTGGGCAACAAATTTTAAGCTATTCCTCAAAGTTTTTTTATTTTTACCAACTTAAAACCTACAAGTTCATGACCAAAACAGATTCAAAGATAGGTGTTCTCAAACGAGCCACTATCTTATGAAATACGTCAAGAATTTCATATTAAATAAATATAATATAAT